ACTAGTCCTCTAATGTCCTCTTTGGAAACTGAGTTATAGGGAGCGTTGCTGACGAAAACTGCCTCTTCCTTTTTGATATTATGTGATGTCCTCAGATTCCTCTTTTATATTAAGATCTATATCATGCTTTCCAAAGAACTCTGAGTTGTGAAGCAGGGGATATGTTAAGACTAACCAGAAAATATGGGAGAAGTTTCCAAAATATCTCATTGCCATCTATGAGATAATTCGGGTGGGATGTTGTTCTGGGAAACGGTTCTATTCTCTTTTGGAAACTGTCCCATTGCTTGCACAATACTTCGGATAAGCACGTGTTTGACATAGGCTATAGTGCCTAAAGACACCATCGCTGACTAAATTTATGGGGCGTCTAATTTGGAGTTTTCTAAAAAAAAGAAATATCGCCGTTTTACAAAACGTCGCGAAAATTCTCGACCTGGCCCATTGTGCGCCGCGACAATTTGCCATTTTTTTTTTAAATTCCTATACAATGTGTTGAAGTCTTCCTGGCTCCAACGAACATCGAGCCGTGTCCACCTCAAGACCTTACCATGTGCAAACCATTTGTAGAGTATACAATATTGTACTAACTAATAGTCTATCCTAGGCAACTTGGAGAAAAAATCGAAATTGATTAGCTGATGCCAGTTATCAATTTTCCTACAAAAGAATGGCAAAAAAATAATCTCGCCCTCACTACTTCAAGTGGTTGCAATGCAAGAATTAGAATCTCAGTTCAGTTGGTTCAGACTCAACCTAAGCAAACATACAATTTAGACAGAATGAAGACAGAATAAGAGTTTTGGGTGGAGTTAATAAATATTTATAAATTGCATGAGTGTTCGTGGAATAATATAACAGAAATAGGATTATATTTGGAATTATAGGAAAAAAATTGCATTTGATTTGAGATATTTAAATGGACATCAATTAATTGTTACAGAAAAAATAATTTTTATGGAAAACTTGGAAAGTTAAATGAAAATTTAACAGTAATATTAAGCAATAGTCATCAGAATATTTCTGCATATTACTATCTCATATAATACACCGCCTCAATATAATCCATTTAATCCAATACTGCAATATTCATTAAACTCAAATACAGAGACATCCATATAATTTTTTTCATTATTTGTTTATATATTTATATACATGTATGTTTTTATGTTTGTAATATTATATAATGTTTTGTCCATATAAAAATGTTTAAAATAAAAATTTAATTTTACCTTTTACCTTTACCCTTTTTTTTTAATTCTTCTTAAATAATAATCTTTATATGAATATTTTATTTTACCTTTTACCTTTACCCTTTTTTTTTTAATTTAATTCTTAAATTGTAATACACACTTCAGGAATCATTTTGTTGATCATTGGCTCAATAATTGAGGTGAAATTGCAGTACTAAATTTTAAATCTTCATAACTCTTTCCTATTGCTAAAAAGTTAGTGTTGCAATTAATCTCTCCTGTACTAACTGCACCTGTCATGACTGTATTTCAATCCTTGGAAGAATTTTATTCAACAAATAGTAAAAAGTAAAGTCATTCATAAGCAGATAATTTCTATAATCACTAGATCATATTCATTCGTCTTCAACTCTTTTAATAACGCCGAATTGAAAAATCTATTTCTTTGGAGTAATCATCTTTTTGCTCTTTTTTTTTTTTTTTAATATAATTCTTTTAATAAAACGTACCTCTTAATATTGACAGTAATATTGGAGCTGAAAAATGATCCGACATTTAAAACATGTGTTTTAATGTTGATGTCACAGGAAAAACTGAAGTGTGTGGAACTGACTCTGATGTAGGTTTCATGAAACCTAGAAGTTGATGTATGCATCGCTGCATGTTCCAACGTCTATGGGGACCTTAACTGTAGAATATTGTTTAAAATTCACTTCTATATTCGAAGTTCTCTTCTCCCCTCTCCTTCTCTCCATACTCCCCTTCAAAAATTTAATTTCAATGATTGTGTCATATCTATCGTACTACACTGGGAGAAGTTATTTAAAGTGTTGATTCTACAAAATATTCTGAAATTATCGAAATTGGAGAGGAAGTAGCTTTTCTATAAGTTAAAGAAGTCAACACATATTTATTTTTTCTCCATACAATCGGAAATAATTAAATAATGAATATTAACATTAGTATATACAAACGAAGATTGTCAGTAATAAACAATTACATAATAAATCTCATACATCTTTGACCGAACTACACGTATGTACATGTATAATGTTCACATAATTTCACTTTGTTAACTTGTTCCTGTGAAAGTTTGTAAGTTTGTAAACTTGTTTCAATTTCTCCTACTTATGTATATGATAATTAATTATGAACTCCTAATTATAAACAACATTTTCGATAACTTTTTTTTACATGTAATTCGATTTTAGCTTTCGAAATATTTGCAAAAGACAAAATAAAAACCCCATGCATAATTATATACGTATGCGGAGTTATAAGAAACTAACCTTGATCAACAACTTTACCAATCTGAAATTAATCCATTTCAAACTAATACCACAAAACTATTATGTAGCTCTTTTAAAAAAAGGGTATCAGTATTAGTTTGTTGTAAATAAATTCCTAAGCGAAAGCCGACCCCCGCACCATGCCGACTGGCAACATTCATTTAATTCTAGTTTCGTGCATGCAGCTTTCATTAAAGCTATGTATGTATTTGAATTCGTAAGATATGAAAATTGATAGCTGACAGATGCAAACAAATGATAAGTATACATAAGTACCAAATATACTATGTCGGAAATAATGTGTACTGGCATTGATAATATTTTGCGAATATATAATTCTTGAGAACTAAAATCAAGCGATAATTATACATATATGTAGAAATTTTAGTATAAAAAGATGTTTATTTGAAGTTACAAATTTTATTTAACAGTAACTATAACATTAATATTAACACTCACTATGTTCTCTTTATACTCGCTACGTCTACACGTTTACACACTGAACTTGCTACTCACTCACTAAATCTCGCTATCTCTTCACTCACTGAAGACTCACAACTCTCTGACTGACTCCTCATCTGCCCGAACATTCGTCGCTCATACACATATGCACACAAACACAACCATATCCTAAATATGTATTTCAAGTTCTAGCCCTGGAAAGCTAGAATAAGCATTCCCAGGTCCCAGGCCTAACTTTTGCTATGATTGCTAATCAAATCGCGCGCAGTCGACAATTGTTGGGCACTGGAGAAAGTTCTGGGCCCTTTCCCAGAATTCCCCGTCCCACATACAGTTATCTCATCGTGTCATATTCGTACCATGTGGCAATTCACTATAAACGAAAAAAAACCTTGTTTCTTATGAATTCTTTTTACTTATTTTTACCAAATGTTGTTTATTACACTGTATTACTTCTGTTTACAAAGCAGTTTTGTTTTTTATTTACAGACAGCAAAAAAATTAAGGAATGTTACTAGTCGTAAAAGCGACCACTCACTCGTATTTGTACATTACGAAATGAACATATTTCTATTGTAAAATACAGTAATTAATATTTTGTCTGGTAACCTTTGTGTTGAATAACCTCAAGTAATCTATGTGGCAAGGATTGAACCAATTTTCGTATAATGTCATTAATAATATTATCCCATTCTAGTAGTAATTTTGCTTTAAGTTGATTTATGTTAGTTATTTGATATTTACGAAGTATCATTTTCAATTTTGACCATAAATTTTCAATTGGGTTTATGTCTGGATTCTGTGGGAGTGTTTCCATGACTTGGAAATAATTACATAAGAGCCATTGCTTCGTTACGTAGGCTTTGTGTTTAGGATCATTATCTTGATAAAAGATAAAATTATTTCCAAGTTCCAAACGGTCCGTGGAGGTAAATTTTCTTTTAAAATGTTGATATATTTGTTTTTATCCATATTTCCATCAATTATTGCTAAATTTCCCACTCCATTTGCAGCAAAACAACCCCACACCATAACGTGCCCGCCGCCGTATTTAACTATGGGCTGCAGATTATTTTTATCTAGGCTTTTATATTTCTATCTAGGCTTACGCCAAACAATTTGCCTGCCATCCAATTGGAAAACATTAAACTTACTTTCATCGGTAAAAATTACCCGTTTCCAGTTGTCATATGTCCACTTGGCGTAATAAAAATTAAATAAAAGTCTGGAGTGGGAAATTTAGCAATAATTGATGGAAATATGGATAAAAACAAATATATCAACATTTTAAAAGAAAATTTACCTCCACGGACCGTTTGGAACTTGGAAATAATTTTATCTTTTATCAAGATAATGATCCTAAACACAAAGCATACGTAACGAAGCAATGGCTCTTATGTAATTATTTCCAAGTCATGGAAACACTCCCACAGAATCCAGACATAAACCCAATTGAAAATTTATGGTCAAAATTGAAAATGATACTTCGTAAATATCAAATAACTAACATAAATCAACTTAAAGCAAAATTACTACTAGAATGGGATAATATTATTAATGACATTATACGAAAATTGGTTCAATCTTTGCCACATAGATTACTTGAGGTTATTCAATACAAAGATTACCAGACAAAATATTAATTACTGTATTTTACGATAGAAATATGTATTACATTTCGTAATGTACGAATACGAGTAAGTGGTCGCTTTTACGACTCGTAACATTCCTTAATTTTTTTTGTTTGCTGTTTATAAATAAAAAACAAAACTGCTTTGTAAACAGAAGTAAGACAGTGTAATAAACAACATTTGGTAAAAATAAATAAAAAGAATTCATAAGAAACAAGGTTTTTTTCGTTTATAGTGAATCGCCACATGGTGCACGAATATGAGTGGGAGTAATTGTATATGTACATACATATAAATTCTCCGATAAAGTCGGTGAAATCGCTTTGTAAACAATTATTATTATTTGCCTCAAAAACAAATTCTTATATACAAAAACTTTATTGTATCTTTTGATAGATTGTTACAGATAGAAATTTTTATTACAGGAGCATTACAGTTTACAGTAGTTTTCTACCTGTTTTGTCATGTTTATCCATTTTTTCCATATTATGTTGGTTAAATGTTAAAACGAAAAACGAAGGTAACAATATTCGAAATTGGTTATCTTTGAATAGGGAAATCAGGATAGCAATATACTTAATTACAGTCTTCTTAACGATTACATCGTGCATTCTTAGCCTATTATTGAACGATATCGAACAGGCAAATAAATACGATATCATCGCACCAGTAAGTATCAATATTTATATATAAATTTAAAAAGTTTTGTTTAACAATTAATGCAATTTCAATTAGTTCCCGATTAAATAAGATATTAAAAATTCAAGCTTAAAAACTATATATAAGTACTATAGACTTATATTATTTTATACATTCATAAATACTATGTATCTTAAATATTATAAACATTGAAATTTATATATATAATTACTATATAAGGTCTCACAAATCACTAGTATTTATTGTATGATGACGTACAAAATGATGAAAAATTAAATTAAATTAAATTAAATGAAAAATATCATGATTATCACGACTGATCTCTGGATCCGTGAAGATTTGTTGATAAAAGTAACTGCATCTTTCTTGATGTTGAAATTCAAGATCAAATTTTTTATGATTGTATCGTATCCTATTCATCGTAAGGATCAAACTTGTCAAAGGACAAAGGAATTGTGAATCGCAGACGACCCGTTCTTCTGGACAGTGATTCTAAAGTTCCTTTTCATTAACTTTTGTTGTGACATAAAATTTTTTATTTTTTATTATACCTGTATATATTAATTGTAATGCTGAATATAAATTAAGATCAATCGTCCTTGTTTTATATATTAAGAAATAAAATATTCCAAGCGCAATTGAAATAATAGCATATATAATAAAATATATAAAACAAAAACAAAGAAAAATAATAAAGAGAAGGAAATAAGGATGAATAAAAACTAAGAACAATCTCTTAGACAGTTTATAGTAGTTAAAGGTTAATATTAATAAAGAAGCATAATTTTAATCAGAAGAAATATTTTCTTTCTTTCTTTTGTTTTAGTTATATATATATAGTGCAGTGATGTGCCTGATTGCAAGTTGGACGCATTTACGAATTGATTTCTTGCTAAAATTCAGTGCAATGTTTTTCTCTATAATAACAATGGTATTTTTGTTTTCGCTAGCACCAATCGCTCGATTATACAATGCAATTGAAGTTGTCGAGTAAGTAGAAATATTATTATTAAAAATATAGATATATACAAGATTATGATAGATATACATACATACATGTACAAAATTACGATAAATATACATACATATACAAGATTACGAAATATTGGTGAAAAAATGTTTGAAATAAAAATTACTTAATTAATTTAATTTAATTAACAGTAAATTACAACTTTTAAAACTACAATAAAATGAGTGATCATTTACTTTAAAGATTCCTTACCGATTTTGATAGTCTTGAAATATGTTGAAGGTCATTATTCTAAATATTTTTTCTTACACATATATCATTATTGTTCGATTTTATATGAGTTTTCGAGATATTCGCAGAAATATTTTTGTATCGTACTTTTAACATTTAGAATTTGTTTCAAATTGTCGTTTGTAAACAACCATAAATAAGATATTTAACAAATTTTTTTTCATAACTATGTATATTTTGATTTTTATTTTAGCTATTTCACTATTAATCTATCATTAATAGCGCTCATTGAAATGAAGTATTTCGTATAAATAATATATAAATTTTTGGACATATGCAACATCTATGATAAATTAATTTAGAATAATGTTCAGTGTGAAACGTAGTTATGTTTTTTTAGACTAAACCTAATCCAAATCTAATTCAAATTTAAGATCAAAGCAAGAAATTTCGAAAATACTCATATAGCACAGATGAGATATATGATCATATCGTCTATATCGTCTATCGTGGTATAGTCTAACCGAATCTATAAAATGAAATCTATAGAATAAAATAAAATATTAACAATATTTTTACATGTTCTACACCCGATTAGTAGGAGTTGTTCATCTTATAACTGTCAGTTTAATAAATTTAACTCAAACACTCATTTTGAAAAATGATCGGCTGTTTTTTTTTTTAGAGAGACTAGAATCGGTATTAGTTAAAAAGTGTCCTTACTATACTCTGGAATAATTCGCAAAAATAAGCGACTCTTAATAAATAAGTTGTTTATAAAAAGAGCACTTGACAACTTATTTTAAGTTATTTAATTACTTCTTTCTTTGACCGACTTATTTCGTTGACAGTTGACAATTCTAAATAATTAAGTATATAAACTTGAATATTCTACCATACTATCATCTTTACATTCAATCTAAAAATCATTGAAATCAGTGAAATTTATCACCGATATAAATAATATAAATAATATATTTATATATTTAATATATAAATAATATTAAATTTAGAAGGTATAAATTATATTTCTGTGAATATTTCAAAAACTAAAGCCGAGCAGTAGTAACATGTATAAGGGAAAATTATTCAAAACGATAACCTTGACAATATATTTCAAGGTAAGGAATCCCTAAGACAAATAATTACTGTAAAATGTTCTGTTGAACAAAAGGTGACATTTATCTTGAAATTATAGTTTTCTAATTTCCCATAGTTTTTTCCCTTTCCGATATTGAGATAAATACAACCATTTACTTTTATACTATAATTTTGAATTCAGAAATCATCACGAATTATTCGCCATGGTGTAATTTTATAAGTTAATTTGGCAATATGTACATGACGCACTGCATTCAGAAATCAGTTTGAACATTTATCTTCATTATTAAATAGATATATGTACGTTCTGAATAAAATTTAATTTTCAGTTATTTGTATTATCGTGTGTATGTTTTTCATTTTTTTTTTTTTTTTCACTATTACGAACAATTCGTAACGATTTGTTACGATTTAATTTAAAATTATCACAAATATACTGTGTATAATAAGTGGTTGCATTCATTTCAACATCCACTACAATCCTAAAATATCAAAACAATATAATGTTATTTTTTAAAAAATTAAACTTTCACTTTTTATTTAATAAAATATTTTTTCAAAATTGTATTTTTAATCAACATTTGTTTCGAAGATCGTTGTATTTGAAATGATTAGGTGGTATCTGAAAAATCGTGAAGACGTGTTGCAACAAAATTCTAGTGTCAATAAAAAATTTGTCAATAGGACATTTCGAAGAAAATTAACCATTGGTGTGCCATTACGTAGAGTCGCCATAGTTTTGCCATCCGTCTATTATAAATTGAGTCTATTTCATGGTTCATTCTATATATATATTATTATATATAAAATATACAAGATAAATATACAAGGTGTTCCATTTGATATACGCAATTATCTTCTAAACTATTTATTACAGAAAAAAATGTTTCAAGTAAAACTTACTTCGTTTCGAAAGAGAAATCTTTTGGTAGCCACAAATCATGGTGTAGATTAGGCCTATCCAACTGGTGGTTCGTGCTTCTCTTCAAGAGTCGTAGGGAAATAGCCCCCTTCTATTACTTACTTTTTTCCCTTCTAAACAAAACACATCACACGAGCCTCACCACACACAAATCCCACTGTGACATGGATCGAGACTTGTATAGTGGTATGGCTCATGCGCCATATCTCTAGACGATAGTTATCCCCAGGTCAATGAATTCGTCATGGAACAGGCTACATGTTCATTTCAAGGAAGATATGTATATGGTTTCATTTAAAAAGAAACAAAGGTCACCAGGAAATCTCGGAAGCACATGCACAAGCACTTACACAAAGATTTGTGACCACCATAAAATTTTTCTCTAGAAACAAAGTAAATTTGACTTGAAATATTTTCTTTTATAACGAGTAGTTTAAGTAAATAAATAACTGCGTCAGACATCCTATATACATATGTATTTGTGTCTTATATGTACATAAATATTACGAGTATCAGGATGATGTGAAGACATTATTTTGCAGACATTATCACATTCATTATTTACTTCAAATTTGTTATTTACTTGCACTTGTTTGCCTCATGCTCCACATTTTGGATAGACAAATTGAGTATACTTCGAGAACTGATTTTTTATGGCAAAACAAATTAAAAATAGAACAGGATGAAGTTGAAACTATGAGAGGTATTAATAAAATTCTCCTCGAAAACATACTACCTGCTCACGTAGCAGAACATTTTTTAACGAACGTCAGAGCAACTCAGGTGAATATTTAACGACAGCGCTAAATAAATAAGAATGAATGAAAAAGAAATGTAAAAAGAGTTTACTTTTAAATTCTTCCAGGATCTTTATCACGAAAGATACAACAGTATTGCCGTGATGTTTGCATCTATTCCAAATTATAAGGAGTTCTACGATGAAACTGATATAAATAAACAGGGATTGGAATGTTTGAGGCTTCTAAATGAAATTATATGTGATTTTGACAAATTGTTACTCAAACCGAAGTTTTCTGGAATCGAAAAAATTAAAACTATCGGTAGTACTTACATGTTAGCTTCTGGTCTTAATCCAGGAAAAGAAAACACTGATGAAAAGGTAAAGGCGTGCGATCATATAACATATGCTTATTTATTGAACACTTATGTACGTCCTATCAATATTATTATATTAGTGACATTTTTAGAAATTTCAATCAAACTGTCGGTCAGTTTGTTGAAAAACTACATTCTCAATTTTCAATGCGCCTGAAATATGTCAAGGCCAACTTGACAACATATATATTCTTTCCTTTATATATGCAGGTGTCTTGTCTTATTATTAGTTTTCGAATTACACACAAAAGTACGTGTGGTAAATACATATACATTTAAGTACTTTTTTCTATATTTTATAAAAAAATTGTATACACATTAGATATTATGATTATTGTATTGTATATAATTATAATTATAAATCACATATAATAGTCATCATTTGACAAGTTTACCAAATCTTTAAACAAAATTAATTTTCAGGAACTTTCAAAACAACAAGATTATAACATCATCATTCTCGTCGAATTTGCTCTTGCTTTGATGACAATTTTAGATCAAATCAATAAAGAATCTTTCCAACAATTTAAATTAAGAATAGGTAAGTTTCCTCAAAACCATAAGTACGAAGCTGTATTGTATATATGTAATATTAGTCTATTAGAAATATATAAAAGGAATGGTTTTATAAACAATTTCTTGTGGAATAAATAAGAAAATTTCATAAGAAAGACATTATATTCTGTTGTTATATTTTATTAATATATTTTTACAAAAAAAAATATATTTTTCAAGAAGTTACATATAAAGAAAAAAAAGAGAGAAAAAAGTATTTTTATTTATGTAAAGAGCGCTAACTTTAATTGTCTTGAATATTATTAATTGTCTGCATTATTTTTGAAGATATGAAAAAATTTTATTGAAGGAAGTTTTATAGTTTGGAAGGACCTGTAATACGGCAGCAATTTTTTATTAGTGTATTATTATAGTAACTGAAGAAGTTCAAAATCATTTTAAAGTCACCATCATTTTTTCGAATTGCTTGCCGAATTCCTTTTTATTCCTCGTATTGAGATATCTAGGAGATATCTAGGCAATTTCAACAAATCATGATTATTTCGAAACCATTTCAAATAAAAATTATGATGAATATGTCCATTTGTATCTGTACGACATTGAAGTTGCCAAAATGTCAAAGCCCGTGCACTTGTTACATTTCAGGGCAGATGCTACGAATCTTTATTTCAAATAATGTGATATTCTCCCTATATTAATTGTTGAACACAGTTGTTATGAGGATATGTATAATAAGCAAAAGATAGCAAGGAACATAAATCATGACAATAATTCTAAGAAATTTTTTTTCAGTATTAGCAGATCTTTCAAACGTCGAATAATAAAGAGAAGTTGTGAATATTTGAGAAGTTATTATGAAAATTCATTAATAATAATAATTTACGAATACTAAAACAGTAACTTGTGAAAAATTCATTCAATTACATATATTTTTGTAATAAGTTACTGTGAAAAAAATGTTTTCATTCAGTGAGAAAATAAATATATTTTTTATATTTGACAAATTCAGAAACACAAACAATATATACTGAATTCTGCTATTCTGATCATGCCTATTCTTCATGCTGTATGTAAAAAAAATAGGAAATATTGAGAATCTTAAGACACAAGTTTCTTAATCGTAAAAAAGTATGTCATGATATCAATCAAATCGATGTGATCGGAATGATCAATGTTAGTTCTCGGATTACTTCAACTGAGTCTGGCATATTACAATCGTTACACACTGTCGACTACTGTCATCACAACCAGCTTATTCTTAATTTATCACTTGATTTCTTTCGGGGAATATTAAAAAATATTGTGTACCAAAAGATAAATATGAAACAAAGACTCGTAGCAGTGTGTGCTACAATTAACCCTAAAATGGTAACAAGTGCATAGGCTTCGGCAATTCAACAATTTCAATATTACATTGATACAAACTTTGTACGTATCAATATATTTATCATAACTTAGAATATGTTGCTTGCTTTTTTATTTGTAGTCAAATGATCTTGAAATAATGATCTAAACATCTACAATACCAAGAATAAAAATGTCCAACAAACAGCTTAAAAAAGTAAGGGGTTCACTTACTTACTTTGAATTATTGCTGGTATATTATAGTCCCTTTCAAACCATAAAACTTTCCTGAATAAAGTTTTTTCATATTTTCAAAAACAACGAAAATATTCAAGGTGATCAAAATTAATGCCTCACCCTCTATAATATAATAATTTATATAAAAAAAATTTTCTTTCGAGTAGGTTTAAATCATGGACCTGTGATAGCAGGTGTTGTTGGAGCACAGAAACCGCAATACGACATTTGGGGTAATACTGTAAATGTAGCATCAAGAATGGATAGTTGTGGAGAAATGGGAAAACTTCAAGTTACTGAAAATACAGCTAAAATTTTAATTGCTGCTGGTTACGAATTAACATGTCGAGGTCCTATTTATGTTAAAGGAAAGGGAACTTTGATAACATATTTCGTGAAAACACCATATGACGAAAAAGAAAAAAATTCTTAATTTAAACCAAATAAAATTTAAAGATGCAATGGAACTAATTGTAGGTCAAATAAAGTAAGAGCATAATTTAAGTCCTTTTCATTATATTTGCTATTTCACAATCTTACCAATATAAAAAATTATGAACTATTTAATATTATACTGCGTCATGCAAACAAGTAATAACGATAAAGAATAGATAATTTTTTATATTATTTATACGTACACATATACAAATGTGCACTAACATTCAAAAATAAAGAATCATGGACACATTTTAAAACGTGAAAAAAAAAAAAATGAATACACTTCTTTTCGAAAATTTTACAAATTCAGAAATTTTTACGGACAGTATAAAATTTTGGATATTGTGCCTAATCGACAAGAAATTTTTTGAGAGTAGTTAGGAAAGATCTCAAATATAAAACTTCGAATATTTATTATTATTGTTTATTATTAATTCTAAGATTTAAGAAAAAAAGCTTTCTATAGATTTATATAATTAAATATAATATATATTTCTAATATATTGAATTCTATCGTTATATTATTAATACAACGGTCCTTGCTGTAGCAGTCAATCTTGAATAGCTGATATTGACCTCAGTATCTATAGGGAATTTCAGATAAAATCGGTTATCCACAATATTGTGAATAATGATTATCGGCGGTCTTCCGGTAGCCAAGAAACACAAACTCAACTCCTACTTTTTTTATCGAACGGAAAACAAATTTTTAAAAAAATGCTTAGAAGTTTAATCATACTGATTATACTTCTGGGTTACTTTATAAATACTTTATAGAGGTCTACATCGCTATTACGTCATCAACTACTTCAAAGATGTGTAACTACTACCAGCTCACGAGTTCTTGCTCCTACTTTCTTGATCAGCGCTATCCCCTCTATTGCATCGATCTCTCCACTCATTGAAATTTCCTCGCCGTACATGAGCCTCTCTCTTTCAGTTTGTTGATTTCTGTACCAAACAAGTGGAGAGATTAATGCAGTGGAGGGGATAACGCTACCTATCAAGAAAGTAGGGGTAAGGACTCAAAGATCGGTAGTTAACCGTCTCTGAACTACTTGACAAGTATTACAGCAAAAATAGCAGAATTCAGTGTATTGTACAGAAAGATTTTTATTAATATCACAAAAACTAATAAATACCCGAAGCTAAAATTTTATATTTTAGGAAACTGGTGCTTTTCGAAACTACAGACAAAATTTTTTCACGGCAGAATCTACCATAAATTTAAAGATTAAAGTCTATCTTTTACAATTTGCAGTATGATTTTTTTTTTTATTTTATTGACTTTTAAATGAAAAGTATGCATTCAGAAATACCAAGATATAGTATGAGAATATTGAACCATCGAACTTGTACTTTACATGTATGTTCAGTACATGTGTATATAGTGATAAAATAACAAGGGGACAATACTAATGTTTAAACATGTATGAATCATATACATATTTAAGATATATTCATTCATTTATATGTATATGATCCTTTAATTTTAGACGTCAATTATGTGCTGTTGAGAACTGGAAAAATGGCCCATGAAAAGAATGCGAGTTTCAGATAGAATCAATACAATCTTAACCCGGGATTACCCACCTGGGGGTCTAGCGCAGGTACATCCCGGCGACTAGACCTTCACGTGGGTAATCCCGGGTTAAATACACTTATTGGTTGAAAGTGTAACGTAAACAAATAAGATTATGACTATGAATGAGTGAGAGAACTATTCCCGTTGTCTCTCTATCATCCCGCGAGATTTTTTTTTTTTTATAAAAATCAGCAGTCAGAAATGAGGCAAAAAAGAGAAAAGAGGAAGGAGAAAAAGATAGAAGTAAACAAATTTTTTCATCAATTTTCTAAAGATAGATTATACCTGACAGAGGCCTTGATTCTGCGAACACCATTCAGGTTGCAAACTTTCAGCAGAAATTCCTCTTTTTACGAGTCGTTCTCTATGCCTGAGCATTCTTTGTTCTGCATGGATCCAAGTTGAACTGGGCTCTGCCCACAATCTCTCAGCAAATGCCGCGGCTCTAGGCCAAATTTTTGCATCAATTGACGCGCTATCGACTTGTTCCGTCCAAAGAGCTGTTTCACCTCCTATTTATATATATATATACATATATACTAATTCGCTTACTTTCGTACTTATATATATATATATACACGATGAAAGCTTAATCGAATATTATAGTCATAGCAATATAATCTTTATAGTTTAACGTAAAAAAATATTTACCTAATATGAGATGTCTTTTACTTTCGAGATGTTGCAATTTAATTATTTTCAATGGAGAATTATCATAAATGATCTGCCATCCTTTGTAAGGAGCACACCAATTATTACCTTCCCCTATCCATGCTGAAAAACTAATAGAAAAAGCATAAACGAAAGAAAAAATGAAGAATACTAAAATCGAATACTAAGAATATATTGTTGAATTTCTTACAAAGAAATTGAAAGTAACGATTCGAGAATAGCTTTCAATGTCTACATATGAGAGAAATTAGGTCGCAAAACGAATGACAAGAATTGCACTGCTAGAACCGAGTTCCGTAAGAATATGTTTTATATTTTTTCATGAATATCGAGAAGAAAAATTATCCTGACTCTGTGCAAGAATGGTTGCTTAACAATATTATAATTTGAAAATACTTATTTACCTACCCACAATCTAAATAAAGAGCGTCGTAATTAGAAATAATTAATTTAAAATTATTTCGTAACAATGTGCCAATAGTAATATCATGTTTGGTTGTCCATACTTGAATGATATATTTCGCAGGATCTAAATATTTAATATTTTCTTCATTGGTTAAACCACTAGACCATAAAATAATAGATATGTCCTTTCCATCATTAGCAATTTTCAACTTGTCCATTGCTTTTTGTTGGAAATAATGCCAAAGCATGTAGAAATTTGATTCGGATAGATCCCAATTTTTAACTGTTTGCATCCAATTTGTAATAACAGCTGAAGAATTCCAACAATTTATATTCACTTCATCTCCACCCATATGAAATAGATCCGACTGAAAATCCTGAATCATGTCTTTATATATTCCTTCGAGAATTTCGTATACTTTTTCGCTAGTGGGATTCAACTGGCCACAAGGTGGCTCAACACAGTAATTTGTCCACGGTTCTGCTTTAAAACAAACAATTGTATCATTTTCGACCTAAAAGTAGTGAGATCATTAAAAATAAATTTTCTTTTTCATCTTCATTTCTTCTTGCATGTTTTTTACATGGATGAAAAAAATTAAAGAAAATCAATTACCCACTGCCATCCTTCTCCTACATGGGCTGGGGCATCAAATTCAGGTAGTACTCTAACACCACGAATAAGACCGTATTCAACAATTTCTTTCACATCTTCTTGATTGTAAATCTTGTCAGTTGCATAAGAACCAAATTTGGAAAATTCTGGCCATGTCTTGCTAACATAGGGAAAACTGTGTGAATCTGTAATGTGCCAATGTAAAGTATTTAACTTCGACATAGCCATACCGTCGATCGTTCGCAATATTGACGTCTTGTCAATGAAATTTCGGCTAGTATCCAATAATACGCCACGATAAGAATACACAGGACCATCAATAATCGATATTTCGTTCGGAATTTGAATCTGATTTCGTAAATCGTCGAAAACGATCAACTGACTCAATGTTTCCAAACCATGTCGTATACCGAAATATGATTTCGCTGTGATCGTGACTTCCAATTTCTATACGGTATAAAAAAAAAATAAGTATGAGAAAATAAGTTGTTTTATTAAATATAAAATTACGTCAGTAATTCAAATTCGTCAACAAACAAAATCTATTCCAAAATACCAATTATCTTCATATAAAGTTATTATCATTTCGTGCATATGCATATGCGCGTGTATAGTGTGTGTGTATGTTTGTATTGTAAAAATCGATTTAACATAATCGATTGCTTATACTGAATGCGTTTTTTGATCATTGGACAAATGTGACAAGAATTAGCAAAGTTGAAAATAATGGACGATTGGCAATATGTTCATGTGATTTGTTATATTTGATATTCATGTATGTACATTGTTCAGGATGTGTATTGATACTCTCAACGTCTGTTTTTTAGTATAAATACATATAAAATCAACGCACAATGCAATACAATATTGAAAAGAATGCACGTTCTTGGTGAGTTTTAAATCAGTCTCCACTGAAGCAACGAATAACTTTCTATCGCCTCTTGTCGTTTTTCATAATATTTCCGACAAATACCAATTTATAAACTACGTTCACACTGAAATAACAATGAGAAATTTTTGTTTCATGTTCTATATATCTTGAAAAAATCACATGTAATTCGTGTTTGCAGCGATAAATATCACTGCTTGTCTATTTCCACTTTGAACGGTAAAGATAAAAAAAAATAGAAAACGTGCAGTAACGCGTGGTAATAGAAACAAATGTTCCTTTAGTATGTATGTACTTAATAAATGTCGCCTTGAAATCGAAATATTCTTCAAATTATATTGCTTCAGCGTGAACAGAATGTTTCTACGTTTTTATATAATAATGAAGAAATTTCTTTTTGCTTCTTGTTGCTACATGTCCCAGTAAACATCGACTGACAGTTTATTCCAAGTTACCAACGTGGCTGAAAAAGACCTGCTTCTTACAGTATAGTAAAGTAAATGAATACAATAAAGAAGAAAAATATGAGTTCGACCAAGCTTAAATTGACAGAAATTCGGAGGCATTCGTCTTCGTGAATATGTTGAAACAAAATTACTTGTTAACAGATGGGCGACATTTTAAAAATTTCCGTTGACCATTTAAAAATGTTATCAAGTACAGAGATTATTAGAATATCTAATTCAAAGTGTAAATTTGTTAGTTAAATTAAGATCTTTATCTATAGGAGACTTATATCATTTACTAATGTACCTATTTAAAATTTCGAAACAAACAATATCCAAAATTATATTTAACACATTACTGACGTGTTACTCGTGTTTCGCGTGCCGTCTGTTACGGATGAATCACGAGATAACTCGGGTTTTCTACATTTTGTCTATTTAGGTGTTTATATCAGTAGTCAATGTATTAAACTCGATTGTCTTCATGTTTTTTTTTTTTTTTTTTTTTGCTTATTTACCGGTTTTGATTGCATTTTGGTAATTCGAATAATCGCTATCTTCGTCTTCAAATTCCTCGTGCTTTTAGAAATGACCTCTTTCAGAAAACGGAAGGAAATGAACGAAACTGAAATATTTTCGGAAGTTTTTGACGATAATTTATCAGATGTTCCTAGTGAGAATGAAAATGTGGATGACTGTGTGAATGGATGTTTTGATCAGAAACCGAATCGGTATTACGGATACCGGTATTTTTAGGTTACTATTCGATTACGTTTGATGAAACCAAAATGGTGCGAATACCGGTATTATGCTATCAAAACGATGTTAGGTCGGTAGATGTACTTCGGTATAATACCGATATAATACCGGTAAATAAAATATTAATATATTAGAAAAGGAAAAGGAGACAATGATTAAATGTTTTCATAAAGCTGCCGATAGTAAATTTGATGACGCTTATACACGCTTATACACATTATTTATTATTTCTAATATTAATTACAATGATTAAATGTTTTCATAAAGCTGCCGATAGTAAATTTGATGACGCTTATACACGCTTATTTATTATTTCTAATATTAATTCAACGTTGTATCTCCATATAATATGAGACACGATACTTTTACTCAATTTTAAAAGATGACCGATTTCTCGATACGCTTTTCCTTTTTGAAAAATGACTAATTGTCGTACGTCAATAAATCGAAAGAAGAGTTAAAACAACTAATCGTAGAATGGAAGAATATTCCGCTAAATTACTCAAAAAAAATTACTAATATGCCTAAGCGTCTGCGATATATTATTGAAATTAAGGGCTATCTAACAAAATATTAATTATTGTTTATGTTAACAATTTTTAGGTTCAAATATTATAGTTCTTCAAATGTCCGAATATTTTTGCCACGCTACATTTCGACATAGTTTCAGTTTATTGTTTGATATTAAGAAAAGTATGTGCAATAAATAAATAAAATTTATGTTACTATAAACTATAATGAATGTTCTATTATATTATTAAAAAATTAATCCAAATTTACTATTATAAACAATCGAAATCCACAACAATATTTTGAATAGCATGATGTCCGAATATTAATAAAAATCACTGTACGTAGAAAATGAAAAATGTGTTTTCGTCAATAAAGCGGTACCGTACCGGTATATATTTTACTGGTATTTTTACCGTGGACATCAAATACCGATAAAATACGTATGAAAATACTGGTATGACCGTCTTATACCGGTATTAAAACCGATTTCCCAAATAGTGGTTATATTACGATAATATAGGAGCAAATACCGGTATAATACCTAAACCTCACAATATTTCGGTTTTAGTCTCTGAATATAATACCTATACCTCAAAATATTTCGGTTTTCAGTCTGGTTTTGATGGTTGTGAGGACGATTCTAGTGACAGTGACATTATTAGACCTGTAAAGAAGCGTAAGGTAGCAGTGCTTTCAAATGATTCCGACACTAACGAAGGTAATTCTGTTCTAGTGAATAATTTGTTTTGTCATTCAATTAATATTCCACCACGCTTACAAGGAGTTGGTCATCCTGGGGTTATTACATTTCCATCTCAGTGTGACTCTGTAGCCTCTGTAGCCTGATGTTTGGTGATGACTTGTTTGAAATGTTTTGCAAGAAGTTGTGTACTTATCATGATCAAACCTCAGTGAAACGTAAAACATCACCTAAAGCACTCAAGTGATCTCCTGTTACACACAAAGACATGAAGAATTCCTTGGCCTAATTCTTCTAATGGGACAAAAGATAGCTGGAAAGATTATTAGTCAACAGATCCTCTAATAGTTACCTCTATATTTTCACAGACTATGAGCCACTAGATTTGAGCAAATATGGACATTCTGGCACTTTAATGATAACACGACAATGGACAATAGAGACTCTAAGAGACTCTTCAAAATTCAACCTGGATTATTTCCTCCATAAATTCAAGACAATATACAGAGCAAAGCAACAGTTGTTTTTGGACAAGGGAATAATTCCATGGAGAGGACACCTAAGGTTTCGAACCCTGCAAAGATTATAAGTATATTTACTTGTTAGGCTGGTGTGCGAGAGTGACACAGGTTATATCTGCAATATGGAGATTTACACTGGTGAATGGAAAAAATTGGAAGATATTGTTAGAAGAAACATCAGAATGATATCAACAATTCATGACACTTCTGTCTCAAATACAGGAAAGAAAAATAGAGAAACTGGAGAGGATATAGTAAAACATGTGTGTATAAATCAATACAATGACCACATGAAAGGAATTGATCAGTACCTTTTATATTATTCTATTCTAACGAAAACAATGAAATGGACAAAAAAAGTCATCCTTTATCTCATAAACTGTGGACTTTTCAATTGTTTTAGAATCTACAATGCCCTGAATCTAGAGAAAAAAATAAAGTATAAGCAGTTTCTCCTTTTGGTGGCAAAATAGTGGATTACTAACAATGATAATGAAGGCTCTCTGGCAACAGAGAGAGATATATCTAGTTCTTCTTCTGGTGATACAGGGAGAGCACTACAAATAGATCCACCTAAAAGGTTGTCGGGTGACATGAAGTAACATGAACTTGTGTCTACTTCAAGCAATGGAAAAAGGAAATTTCCTACCAGAGCTTGTAAAGTTTGTGCTGCCATGACATGAATGTCACATGAAGAAGTGAAACGAGGTATATATGCAAATTTTGTATGGTTCCTCTTCATGGAGAAAAATGTTTTACGCAGTACCTTGAAAAAGTACTAGGAACTTTTTTTATATATAGGCTTTATATTAAATACAATATATGAAATAATTGGAACTATAAAGGATAAGGTCTCCTCGATAAATCAAACCAAAGAGTTCAGGGATAATTTTTGCATTGTCTATGTGTCTCAATGTAGTGCTAACTGCATACTAACAATAGTAATGTGTAACAAAGGAACAGATCAAACAAATGGCACTACAGGACATAAGAGTGTATTTTTTTGTATTTGATGTACTGTATTACTTCTTTTGTACATTATTATAGATTATGTTGATTATTTTTGCATCTAGTTCATAATTTCATCAAGATTATAAAAGGTAGTAATTTTGCATCACAACATGCATCAAATTATTGTTTCTTAATGTGAAATAATATTTTATATTCAAACACTAAAAGTTTAAAATAAATATTATAAAAATGATGAAATTGATGAGATATAAACTCATTTATAGTTGACTGCAAAAAAGCAGCCTGTCGGGAAAATACGCGGCCATTAGGATAAGTTGAAAAAAAAAAATCCGGTCTTTAATGTGTTAAGACATGTGACACAACTGTGAAGATTCTGCAGTACGCTACAAATTACAATGCATTCTACAAATATCAAGCGACAAAGAGGAACATTTGTTACATACTAAAGAAACATTTGTTCTGTTGCAAATATTTCTGTTACGAATGGTAAACATGCGGCAGCATGTTTTTTGCTTTTCTTTTTTACCGGTTGGAACTTGCTTCTTGCAACTTTGCTAGTGACAACGAAGTTTGTCATTGGCAACAGAAACAGAAAAAAATTTGGAGAAAGATTTGGCTACAAATAGCGACATTTTCAAGATACAATTCAGCAATCAATGTGTTTTCAGTCATCTTTTGACAAATTCTGAAGAAAGAAACATATGCCGTGTAGCTATTTGCATAAGAATTAATTTATTGAATTATTCTTAAGCTGACATATTTGTCAGAATATTTTGTGTTATTAATAAATTACAAGTAAATGCAATAGGACTCCATATAATGTGGTATTCATGTAACTCGCGTAACACAATATATTAATTAGTATCAGATCCTCCTGTAACACAATTGTAAAATTGCGTAAGATTTTTTAGATGTTAATTTCCTTTTTCAACAATAATATAACTCGTATTTGAAAGTTTATATTTGCTTTTAAAACTATTATTTTTTCAAATCAAGCTGTCACGTAGGTATCATCCAATATCCGATCTTTGTCTATACTTTTTAACACTTCGAAATCGCATGATTTCAATCGACATAATGAGAAAAACGAGAAACAATTAAAACGATTGATTTTGTATCTATTTTTAACGTATTGCACGTTACTATTAATGTATGAAAATTTTAGTTATAAATGATAAATAATAAACAATAAATAATATTTAATAATTGATAATAACAGTTAATTTTATTATTTTAATTAATTAATTTTTAAACTAACAAGTAAATGCAAGTAAATGCAGTAACTTTATATTTAAGTAGTTATTTAAATAAAAATTTTTTTAAATAATATTCAATACTGTATGACTCAAAAATTATAATTTGTACATTAACTTTTATACAATTGAGCCGTTTATTTTAAAAATGGTCTAAGTCCATTTTTCAAAAAAATCAAGCTAGCTGTTTTAATATTTACATTTCTATGTTATGTTTTCATTTTAAACAAATTGTAACTAATATATTTAAAATTACTAAGATTTTGTACACAAAAAATTAGCTGGTTAATAGAATAATAAAGCTATACTTTATTTTGAAAGTCTCATTTTAATAGTTATGAGGTTATTGATACGAAGTATATTATGAAGTATATTGTATCCTTCAGGAATATTACGAAATATAAAAAGGGTCGAAAAAATAACTTCATAAATACAATGATGGATTGAAAACGAGAGGATTTCATTTTAACTAAACCTCTGGAGGACGAGGTTTTTAGAAAGTTAAAAAATACTAATAGAGAAAGAATAAATTGGTTAAAAATATATTGGATGCGATTTTTGAAACATATAACTGAATTATATAAAATATTCTATAAAACATCAATGAATGAGAATGCACTATTCAAAATTCTGGATTTATTATCGCGTCGGGGCAGACCAAGAAACTTTAATAATATTGAATTGACACTATTGTACAAAAATGTAAGACCAATCACAATACTAAAATACACCGATATAATGGACTTATTACAATACCATCTGTACATCATAATTATTTTAAATCTTTCCCGCATACGCAAACTGGGAAAGAATGAATTATAAATTACAAAATATTACTTGAATGTAACATTTCTTTAATAGTGAATAAAAGTTGGATATTTTTTAATTTTATAACACAAAATTGTATATATTTTTTTTATTTTAAAGAAATTTTATTTTTTCAAGGGAGTTTTAAAAATTAATATTTTACTAATTGGTCATCAATTGAAAGTGGCTTAGATCCATTTACAGCCATCAAAAACGTTATTTTCTAAACAATATTTATCATACTAATCGGGTTGATAAATGGTAGAAACACAAAAATATTATACTACCATGTTATTAGTTATATTTTTAAATCTGTTAAAATGCAAACCATTAAAATTTCAAAAATAAATGGACTTGAGCCATTTCTAAAATAAACGGCTCAATTAAAACAACTTTGTCCACTATTATGTGATAGTTATTTCTACAGGAAATTAATTGTGTTATTTCAAAAAGGATTTATTTTAGTTTCTATATCATGAATTTACAACGCAGAATATACATACATATATATATGCATCATCCACGTTATAAGAGATCCGACTGCATTAACTATGATCAGATGAAATTAACTATGACCACAATTATATGAAACGATAAAGAAAAAAACTTTCCATAAAAGAATTACCAAGCTCACCGTTTTATCCATTTGTATTACAGTTAAATTGTAGCTTTCATCTGTGTGCAAAGTCAATTTAATGTTGTTCATTTCGAGATAGCCTTTGCATCGAATAAGCATTTCCATTCCGCCAGCATTTGCTAATTTACCGCCAATATTTTTCACAATGTTCTTCAATAAAACTATATTTCTTTCAAGAAGATATTTAATTTGAGTTCCAGATTGTACGTCATCTAACATAATTTTGTCTGGATCAAATTGGACCATATTTTTGCTCAAAGATAGATGACCAGTTGGTTTTGGCCACAGAGAACTGGATGCATCACAAAACAATTCGCATACTTCCAATGAAGTGGGATTAGTCACTTCCTTTGTAATGAATTCCTTCTTACACAAGCCACCCTTGCATTCATAATGCCATGGTGAACTGTGATCAAAATTAATCAATTTTCTCTTTCCTTTTTTCCTTCTTCATAAATATATATTTTTTTGCATATTCTTTTATGAAAAAAAATTAAATAGTGCAAAACAAAATAGAAAAGGAGATATATATTCATGTGTAAAAATACACAGTAGCGGACAAAAATTACTTTCAATAGATTATTACACTATATAATGAATACTAACTAATAAATATGTAATTCATAACTTACTATTACAGGTACACTATATTTTTGACCAATCCTAAACATTTAATAATACTACAATATTTAATAGTTCCATAATTTATAACCTTCTAAAATATATATAAAGAAATAATCTATATATTTATTGTCAATGAAAAATTTATAAGAAATATTCAAACATTTAATGTTTCAAATAAATTGAGCTATAACATAATTCAGTTAATATAACTAAATTGCAAATTTTTATGCATTTATGAAAAATTGAAAGATATAAAAATATAGTACTATTATATCACATTATTATATACTATTAATATTCAATATTATATTATATTAATTAGATTAATATTTAAAGCAGGATGCTGGTTTAATTTTTAATAGATGAAACAAATTTCTACATTTCCATTTATCAAAATATGAAACTGTATAAAAATCGGCAGCTTAAATGTAACATCAAATTTATAACAATTCTAATAATATTTAAATACATAAAGCTAGCAATGTACGGTCAGAAAAGAGAGAGAGAGAGAGAGAGAGANGAGAGAGAGAGAGAGAGAGAGAGAGAGAGAGAGAGAGAGAGAGAGAGAGAGAGTGTCTCCAAGAAAAAATATTTTTGCTAACAGAAAGATTTGAAACAGCTTATATAAACAAAGATGATAAGATGAAATTTAAAAAAATTCAATTCTATTACAATAGACCAAAAATAAATCCCTCAAAAATTATAGTAAAAATGAACTGGCGCATTCAAAGATATCTCAGCTTACCTTGTTGATAATCTACAATTACATTAGTGTACAGACAGTTTGAAGACAAGTTAGTATACGATATATAATACGATAATCTATCAAAAACGTATTAAACTTTTGTCCGCTACTGTATATATGTATATAATAAAGATTAATAATTATAATAACGTGAATAACTCTTGAACTATTAAAAAATTAATACGATCTAAAATATTGATACGTATTTTTGTGTTCGATTTTATATAATTTTCTATTTGCTATTATCCATGATCTACGACATATGTAGGTGCCACGTATCGTGTACCTGTTGCTTTCACTATACAAATTAAAATGAGACAAATCTCTCTCCTTCATCTATTTTCAATTTCGATTTTCAATAAAGAGTGATTGCATTGAATTATGATTTTCGAACTTTTGTGTATTAATTCTAAATATTTCTTTGTTCTATTGATATTATATATAATTATCGATTTATTATATATTACAAATTAATATAAATTAGTAACTATAAACAATAAAAAAATTGTTATAAAAAAGAAAATTATAGTGTTCAAGAATTTTATAATTTATAAAATACCTAAGTGACTTAAAACTACATTCTTTTATATACTATAATCTCTGTATTAATAAAGTTGATCAAAAAGATACTTCTTACTAACTTATTTAAGTTTTACTAACTTATTTAAAAATTTTATCCAATAAATATAAAGAATCACTGTAAAACTTACTTATATGATTTTTGAATATTGTCACTTGTACTAACTTTTGCAACAAATACGATAAACAACAAAACAATCATAATGATACTTTGTATACTTTATTCGTGCAGATTCGTCTTTCAAATGACTGAATACGCTTTCATTTAAGTGATTTTATCCGCTTCAGGTTATAAACTAAATCCATTTTGATTGGACAAAAGATCACGAAGTGGGGTGTATGGCATATGGGGTATAAATTCGAAACCAAATTCATTTAATGAAAAAGAAGTTAATAACATTTAACTTTAATCTAAATTATAATCTAATTTGTTCAATAATTTTTTAAAAAATAATATTTAAAGACAATCATGATTTAATTTTTCATTGATATAATCATTTAAATTGATTATTGACAATAAGTTGTTATTCTAAAATTTATGTCATCATAAGATTGCGAATTTCTATAAAAATTCATATTTTTGCGAAAGTATTTTGAAAAATAGAATTTAGATAGAGGTTTATTTCATCATTAATTAAATATTCTCACAGATATTATATTTTTCATGTTCTATATGTTTCTATGTACATTGTATTTTTAAATTTTTTATAAATGCATAAAAATCCACATTCTATTTATTACATACAATATAACTGTTACAATTATGTTTTAATAATATTCATAAAATGTTTCATAAAAATATAATCCATTAGATATTTTTTTTTAATATTTATTATAATAAATATTTATTGTACAAGTAATTAGGATATAGTAAAAAAATTAACAATGAAACATTGTGTTATCCTGTATCATGCACCTTTGGTTCATTCATCACCACGTATAGCTCTATATTTAGCCAACTCATGTGGGAAAACTCTAGTTAATTCTACAAGCATGTTTGCTTTAAATTTTCTATAAGCATCAATCTTTCCTTTTACTTGTTCATTCTTAGTTAATGCCTTTTCTATGCAATCCTTGGTATACAATTGTGGATTTCTTCCTTGATCAATGTAACTAAAATCATATAAATATGAAAATTATATAAACATGAAAATCATGCAGATATAATAAATCCTTCATTATGAATAGCAAATTTTTATGCATTTATAAATTTTTCAAAATATAACTGAAGAAATAGTATTTAAAGAAAATTTATCTTATAATGTGTACTTTAAAGAATTTAGATATATTTATTATATACATCTTTGCAATTTTCATAAATGCATAAAATAAATGTACGATTTAGCTGTGAAAATTAAATCTGTTTTGATAGTTACTCAAAAACCTCCAAAGGTACATGAACATCTTGAACTTGAGACTTAAGCTTATCTATTTCTTGTAAACCATTTACTAAACCTTGACTGAAACATAAAAGTATGAAAATAAAGAAATTTATGTTGCAACATATACGTATATATAAATATTGAAACAATAATTAACACTGACTTAAATTTTTACACTTTTAATATTATTAAAAGTTATTTGTTTTAAAATTTTTTTACAAATAATAACACTTTTAAGTGACATTTTTTTCCGATTAAATATATTTGGTTAATCCAACGATATTGAATATATATGTAACAAAAAGAATAATAAAAGACTACTATATACATATTACTCACATTTTTTGATTCAGTACATTTTGTCCTTGTGGTTGAAAATCACTTACTATAATACGTATTTGCCTAACATTTTCAATAAAAAGCTCCAATTGAGTTTCCAAATTTTCTAACGCAGACGCCATATTTCATACTTCTTGTACATCTATACTTCGTCCGTATTGAATATTAATATTACCTGTTCTCTCAGTAAGCGGATGCAAATATGCCAACACTAACGCCGCCAATCGTTCTTAGTTCTTAATAAAAACTAATCTGGTTCCTCTCTAGTATTCCTTATTCTATTATGTTATTCTTGCTCTTAGTCATTTGTGATACCATAGTATATATATATGAACATACACATGTGCATATAAGTATACGCATGCGCATATTGTATTTTTGTGATTGTGTATATATCGTACATTATACATACTATATATATATATATATATATAAATAGGCACTCAATATACAAATTGTACTGTGAATTTTAATCATAATTGCTTATTGTCTTATTATCGTGCATATATATATATATTTATATATACATACACAAACTACAAAATTGAGTTTCAAATTGTACAATAAGAATAAACTTCATAGTTTTCAAACCTTTGTTAAATAACTAACATTTACAAGAATTTAAAAAAGAAACATATAAAATAATTAAAAAAATAAGATAGAATGAATAACATACAAATAAATAAATAGTGAAAAAAATATTTTAGTTGAATTTATCTTGTAATCGATGATAATTTAATAAAACTAGTTATAGTGATAATTCTACATTATTGTACTTGTATATAATACTATAATATATTTTTACTTTTAGAATAACATGACGCTAAAACACGTAGTTATAGGCAAGTTTATTTTCTCATTCAACAAACTTAAAATAAATTTTTGGAATCACATCAATTAATAGGTTACACTGGTTGAGGTTATGTATTTCTCCCAGGTGGTGGTACAGGTTTTATTGGGACACAGATAGTAAATTTGTTATCTCATAAAGGTATTTCTTATACATGTATTTCTCGTATGCCTGGCCCTAATCGAATTTCATGGGTAAGACAAATTAAATACAATTATGCTATATAATATTACTAATTTCATATTGTAATAAAAAATTTATAGCATGATTTGGAGTGTTATGGTTTACCTGAAAATACAACTGCTGTAATTAATGTTGCTGGTCAGAACATACTTGATCCAAAACAGCGATGGTCAGAAGGATTTAAACAAAATGTTATAAATAGCCGAGTAGAGACAACAAAATCTTTAGCCAAAGCTATAACATGTACAAAAGCTAATGCTTTTGTAACAATCTCTGGAGTGTCTTATTATAAACCAAATAACAAAGAATATACTGAAGAAAGTAAATGTGAAAAATATGATTTCCTATCAGGTAAATCTTTAATTTAGTGTCGGTACATATTTGTACATTAAAAATTATTTTAATACAGTAATTACATCGTTTCAAATTGTATCAGAACTCTGTCATGAATGGGAGGCAGCTGCGCAACTTCCAAAAGATAGTAATATCAGACAGACCACAATTAGGTCAGGAGTTGTATTAGGAAAAACTGGTGGTATGATTAAACAAATATATTTGCCATTTTTCTTTGGCTTGGGTGGTCCTATTGCTAATGGAAATCAATATATGCCATGGATACATATATCAGATTTAGTAAATTTATTTTTATTTTCAATTGAAAACAAAACTGTGCATGGTATATTAAATGGTGTTGCTCCCCAGGTAATTAATTGAAATTAACTGAAACTTCAACAGGTATAAATTAAATAAGTATAATTAGTAAGTGAATTATTTACAGATTATAACAAATAAAGAATTTACTAATGCATTTGCATCTGTGATACGAAGGCCTGCATGTATTCCTGTGCCACGCATTTTTTTGAATAGCATTTTCAGTAAAGAACGTGCGAAAGTTAGTACACAATACATATTTTGTTATATTCTGTTGCAACTAATAATTATATCAATTTGGTTTTAGATTATGCTAGAGGGACAGAAAGTTATTCCTAAACGTGTCAAAGAATTAGGATTTCAATACCAATATGTTGATATTAATTGTGCTTGTGCTGAAGTAATTGGCAAAAATAAATAATTATAAATTAAGATTAAAGAATTAACTGAAATAATGTATATATATTTTAAAATTAATATTGATTCTTGACTGCATTAATTTATACAATATATTAATTTATGTATATTTATAATCATATCCTGCCATGTATAAAAAACAAGAATAATTTATTTATTAATTTTTCCCAAATTTTTTTTCTTTTTTTTTGCAAAATGCATATATGTATATTGGATTTTTTCTTTTTCTAAGGAAAACAAACAAATAATGAAATTCTGATACATTTATTAACATCAAATTTCATAATAATAATCGTACACTTTTAATATGCAATACATTTTTTATTAATAATTTTATTTTTGTTTTCATTTATGTCGTATCTTCCAAATACATATATTCAAAATATTTTTTTTATATCAAAATTATAATCAAATTTTACATTAAATATCAGATATATTATAGATTTTAACTTTTTACAAATGTGAATTTTTCTAGTTTTCATTAAAACTATAATTTAAAATTTTAAGAAATGTATTTCCATAATAATTACATATGTATATTTCCATAATAAGTGACATTACATTTTACAATTGAAGTATTGAAGTATTGAAGTATATGAGTTATTAAAACTTTAACAATGTTTTTCAATAGAACAGTTCATTTTCAATCCATAATTTTGACTTCTATGTTTGATGAATGAGATGCAATGATAAAAAATTTCACCTTGAAGTTCAAGGTCAAAATCAATTTTGCAGCAAGATTTTCGTATTGTCACCAATTCAGGATGTAGATTATACAAGTCGTGATATAAATTTCGTTCTACCCTATATATAGTTAGTGAGATCATTATGTCACGTCTCAGACGAAGGCTTCTGGCAGTTAAAGAGTGAAAGCGCTCAACGTCTGGGC